CGCGGGCCGGGGCCAGCCTCGCCAGAGCCCTGCCAACCGCCGTGAGTCATTTCCTTGGAATCCTACCTTTGGTGTTTATTTCCCTTAGAAGGAAACTTGGTTAAAAAAAAAAGAAAAGAAAGAATAATCATAGCTCTTATTCTTCAGGAGAGGCGCACGGCTCCGGCACCGTGGAAAGACAACTTGCCTTTGTTCCCAGACACTTGGGGTGTTGTTTACTTTATCCTGCGGCTGCGGGCCGGCAGGGCTCTGCCCGTTTCCCCCTAGAGGGACTCAGCACCGACCCCCCGGGGTGGGGTCTGGGTGGGAACCCGGACACGGTGGCTGCTGCCCGCCTGCAAGGGGTCGGTCTCCAAACCTGGGACCCCAGTCTTGGGCCTGGGATGAGGACACCTGGCGCTCGGGCTCGGACGCCCGAACACCTCCCCCACCCCCTCTCCGGTTCAGCATCCGCATTCCCAGCCCCAGTACCCGACCTAAAGCTCTTGGCCTTTTGGAGCTGCAGCCGAGAAACGTATTTCCCAGGGCAGACAGGTGTACTGCAGGGACTGGTAGAAAAGCAGCATCTGTCTATTTAGAAAGGTTGAGGAATTTTATTCCTCCCACCCAGCTGCTTCCACCACCACCATGAGCTGTTGAGACCTTATTAGGGACAGTGTCAGGTCAAGGGCTTGATTCCACCTGGGCAGGACATCCAAGACCAGTAGCATCAAAGGTGTATTGAAAATATCAGCCCTTTACTTCCCTGCTTTTCGGTATTAGAATCAGACCTCTAATTGCTATAATGCTCTTAATAAAATGTTTTCCAATGGTAGATGAGGGGAGGGGTGAGCAGAGAATGACCAGGACCCCCTGTTAGATAAGAAGTACCACTGAATCTGCAGCTACCCTGTTCTGTGTGCCAGCCACTCCTATTAGCATCATAATGGCTCAAAAGGAAAGAAGCAGCCCAAATCATCTAGAAAAACCAAATTGTATAGAAATGCCTAGTGACTCTACTGTGAACATTGGCTGGAAAGGTTGACATTTTAGCCCTTGGCCTCCCAGGAATGGTTGAGGTGTCATCCTACTACATTCCCTTGGCTTACAAAACAGTCCTGCAGGAGCCTGAGGATAAAAGGATAGGGCCTTTTTATTTTTTAGATTTTAAACCCTTGTGTAGACAGAACATACTTTAACACCCTTCTTTTGAATCCACTCACCTCTGACATGAAAAAAAAAATTTGCCATACATATATACCTTTGTGACTCTATCTAGTACTAACAGCACATAAATTTGTGGACTTCAACTTCTGAACTCAGTAGCAGAATTATAATATAAATCTCATCCTACTGAGAAAAAAATGATAGTTTGTATGTGTATGCATAATACAAATAAAGAATCATGTGAAACATTGGTGCTTAGCGCCGCATAGTCAATTCTTCATGAACATTAAACTTCCCTTCTTAATTTGTTAACGTCCCAGTATACGTTCTAAATAGACTAGGAAGACTCAAATTGCAAAATCTCCTCCCCGGTCCCAAATAATCCCAACTCGTTTATATTTTATTCAGACTTACATGAATCACTTGTGGAACTCAGCCTTACAAAACTCAACCTCTCCAGTTTTGGATTTTGTGTGTAAAGGTTCCCAGTTCAAAAAAAGAAAAACTTACTGAAACTACATATCATAAAGGAAAGAAATAGCCAAGATAAAAACTATGATGCCATGCTTCAAGTTCAAATGCATAATAGTAGAATTTCATGTTCCGGAAACAATACTAGCAAATGAAAACACTGAAATCCTTAACAACCCAGAAACTACAACGATACGTCATTAAAATATAAACAAACTCTTAACATAAAACAGTGCAAGGCCCATATAATGTCCTGTTAAATGAAGGTAATTGCTGCTTGGGGCCTGCAAATGCTTCAGTGTCTTAAGGAGTATGGATTTGTCAACCTGCTTTGGTTTATTTGTAATGCAAGTTCCATGTAGGCAAAAAACTTGGATCTTATGCCCAGCATCCAGCACAAAAGGGAGTGTAAATTTCAAGCAAGAAAACGCTGTTGCAGTCAGTAAGACAGGGCTACTGGCTCTGAGAAAAAGAGGGTATCATTCGTACGCTCCAGGCAGTAGCACCTCCTGATAAAGTTGTCTGTTAGAATAGGTTAAGAAATTGGACCATTTCATGAGAGTCTCCCAGTGAATAAATTATCATGAGGTTTGACACCTTGTTCGGATGCTGAGTTGGAGGGGTGAAAGAATGGCTTAGTTTGTGAAATCAGTGTAGTCTAAATTTCTTGATTGATGACCCAAAGAGCAAAGTAAATGGCCTGTTCCACCATTTCTTGTTAGAGAATTAATCGAACCTTTTTTTCTCTTGTAATAAGGTTTTCTAATAAGTCCTTGCTGCTGCCTCTTTGGGGGGCATTTTTTTTGAAAGAAAGGGAGTATGTGGTTTAACAGTCCAAATCAGCTGGGTCCTAATTCCAACCACTGACCTAGACTTGTCCCCTGTCTGTCAGAAGGCCTGGCTCCCTTCTTCAGTGAGGCTGGGACAGAATTTTGGGTCTCGGAGAGAAGCCTGGTTGACGGATGGAGTCATTGCTGCCATGAGCTGCTCTGTTAGCCAGAAGGACGTTGCCACTTAATGAAGCTATTTCCCCTTCCCCTGGTGTCTTTCCTCCTTTTACCCAGAAGTGGACCCTTGTTATAACATGTAGGTGATAACAGTCTCCCACGAGACAATAGTCAATGCACCCTTTCCCCAAAACATTACAAGCTGTATAATTTGGATCAGAAAGCAAGAACTAGACCCTTAGTGTCTGTTTGAAAGACAATCAATCTTCAAGAAAGCAGGCCTGACATCACTCTTTGTGACAGTTCTTGAAACAGCAAAGTGAGACAGCAGAGGTCTGGGTCTCGTAAAAGAACTGGCGGTTAATAAGGCACCAAGGCAGCTTGGCTGTCACCACTGATCTATGGCCCCAGGAGATCTTTTTGCTGTAGACCCTCTTCTTCCTGGCACTCACTCCTGAGCCTACCTTGAGCCCTACTTAGGACCAGGTGAAGACCCTGAGCCCCCACGGAAATGGCCCCCACCACCGGAGGTGTGGAAGAGCCCAGGGTGCATCTCTGAGCAGAAAGGCCCCCAGTCTCCCCGCAGGCTCCAGGAAAGGGCAGGAACTGGACAGAAGGGCCGTGGTGTGTTGCCTCCTGGAAAGTTTCTGCCTTGTGTCTGGGCTTTGCAGTGTACAGTTGTCGGCTGCCTCTGGCCCTGGAGCCCTGGCTCCTGTTTAATATTCTGCCTGCTCCGTGGATGTTGTGCTTGGCTCCTGTGGGACTGCAACTCACGGCTTGAAACTGGAGCCAATTTTCTGTCTTCATCTCTCAGTGTTTTGACTGGAGGCAGATCCAGTTCAGGCCGATCAGGGCTGGTGGAAACAACTACCAAGTGTGTCTCTGTCTGCTCCGCTTTGGGGGAAGAAAGTGGCGGGAGCCCCAGAATGTTGTAGAGGAGCCGGCCCTGCGGAAAGAGAGGAAGAGGGGGCAGCGGGCAGCGGAACAGACTGAACCTGAGAGCATCAGTAGGGATTACGGTGAAGATTTCTGCCTCCCCCATCCTTTTCTTTTGATTGATTAGCGGATTTCATCAAAGGAGACTCTCGGGGGATTGACTAGAAAATTGATTTTGCCTTATTAATAGAAAGGAAGCAGCAAGGGTTTTGGCCTTGCCTCTTAGCGGTACATTTTCTGCGGGGAAGGTCAGAAGGAAAATGTGTTTAGGAGGCAAAGCAGCTGTCTGGAAGAGGGCTGAGGGGAATCTGAGAACAATAAGAAATGGAGTTTTAAAGATCCGCCCATGTTCAGATTGCTGAACACAGAGGCTGAGCTAATAGCAGCAAGAGAGTTGGCTGAGGTTTTCTTTGAAAAAATAATAAAATGTTTCAGGGTGAAGGGGAGGACCGAGAAGTGTAAGTTTCCCAAAGCAAAGCAAGGAAGATGCCAAGGCCATCCCCTGGCTGGCCCTTGATTAGGGCTGTTTTCTTTTTTTTTTTTTTTTTTTCCAGATCTGAGGCTGTCAGAGATGACTCTGGTTCTGTCCATGAATAGATTCTGCGAGCCCATTGTCTCGGAAGGAGCTGCAGAAATTGCCGGGTACCAGACACTATGGGAGGCTGACAGCTATGGAGGCCCGAGCCCCCCAGGGCCAGCACAGGCTCCTCTGCAGGGAGACCGGGGAGCTGGTCCCCCACTGCCAGGTACTCCCCTTAACCTTCCCTTGCTGCCCTCTGCGGCCTGACTGGTGGGCAGGGGTGGTGTCTGGGGATGCCTTTCTGAGCTGAGAGAACTCGTGTTCCAGGGACTTCCCAGGCTGCCTGTGCACCTCTCCTAAGAGCCCAACGCTCCAGGGAGAGGACCAGGGGTGATGGTTAATTGCATTCAAACTGGAGTTTCCATGTGCTACTGCTTTAGGTAAAAGTCACACATCTGTATTTTTAAGAGAACCAAACGAGGTTTTGAAACTCTTAAGTCTGGGTTTCAGTTGTCTACACTCTGGAACCGTGTGGTTCTCTCAGAGTAGCCCTGGTGGCCTTGACAATGAAATCTTTATCCCATGGGACATAAAGGAATGTGCACTTTGGGCCCGGCAGCTACGTGAATCTTCTTTTCATTAAACACACAATTGGCTTTGGTATTACAGAAAAAAAAATGTTTTGAGCCCAGAAAATAGAAATATTTTCTTCCTGATTCTTTATTCTTATACTTTAAGGTGAGTTTCTTTGGATTTTTGTGTAGTCCTAGTGACTGGGAAAAAAAAAAAACCTAAAATGTAAAACAAATACTTACTGAAATCTGATTTGCTGAAAAGGATTAAAAGCTTGATCTTTAAAAATTAGACCCTACTTTTACTCATGGCTGGTACATTTTTGAGAGCAGAAAGGACTTTTGCTACTTCAAGTTTTAATTTTCAATTTAAAAATTTTTGAATTTCATATTTTGAAAGAAGGAATATGGTAACTCCAATGTGCAGATAATCATTTGTTTACTCATCTCAAGCCAGTAACATTTAAAAGTTGTTTGGTTATTAGTGCTTACTGTTAAAGATGTATACATTTGAACAGTGGTGTTATATTATCATGGATTTAAACAATTTGAAAAAATATTAATGTTATTCTGTAGTTATTACACTATTCCCCTTTATGAATTTTGCTGTTTGCCTGTGCATAGAATTAAGAGTGTGAATAATCAGCAAATGCTGAAATATGTCATTTTCCTCTGTAATTGTCTAGAAATCTTTGCCTGGCCTGGGTCACAGGGTTCCTTGTGATAGCAACTATTAAGACAAATGTTTAATCATCACATGTACAGACAAATACGTAGCCAAGTTATCTTCTAGAGGGAAAGGAAAGTATTTTGTTTGGAGAACCTCTGGCAAACCGCATGTCATTTGTCATATCTGATTTATTACCACAGGAGCACATTACAGGGGAATTTCAAATCCTATAACAACATCCAAGATCACATACTTTAAGAGGAAGTATGTGGAAGAAGAGGATTTTCACCCACCACTCAGCAGCTGTAGCCATAAAGTATGTTTTTTTAATAGTCATTATTTTTATTAAGAGTTTAAGATACTTAGTAACAGTTCCTTGATCCATTTCCAGAAATTAAATTGTTCCACCCAAGCAATGAAAATGAGCCACTTCTCAGCAGAGCCATATTAATCGTCACTTTTTTGGGTCCTGTGTTATTTTTCACAAGTATTTGAAGACAGAGTCAGCAAGAGCGCCTCTGCCCAGAAATAACAAAATTATATAATCCAAGGAACACGTTTTTACGAATGATTTCATTTTTCCCAAGTTGCATTAAGGGTCACGGTGATGCGTGCTTTCATGTGGTGCGGTAACACACTTGTTCTTTCCTGACCTGCTCCCGGTCCCTGAGCTTGAGCGTCCATGGCCAACGCCACTTCTGTGCATGCCCACGCTGGGTGGTTACCAAGGGCTTTTCCTGACCTCTCAGGGGTAGACTCACCATCCCTTGAATGTGTGCATGAAATAGAAACATGCATTTTATGGTGCATTCATTACATATGTTTAGTTTGTTAAAATATATAATTCATTCCCAAGAAAAAACCAAAGCTACCTTTTTGGCACGTATAAGAAGGAAATAACAGGATCAGGAAAGTGCAGAGAACTGTGAAACTGGCTATCCTAAGCTTTTGAAATACCAGTTCCTTTTCCTTAGGATAACCTTCTTTCAAAAACTATCTGCTAATTTAATCAAGGAGAGGATGACCCAGACCGTAGTTGTTTGAAATGCAGAGGAGAGTTTTAATTTTTTTAATTTGCCTTTCTCTCTGTCTCCTCTTACTCCCTCCCCCCCACCCCCATCCTTTAGATGTTGCTTTGACCCTGCTCATAAAAAGACATCAGCATGCATTGGCAGGTGCTGGGGCTTTTCCCTGTGTGTGTAGCTCCTGCCTTTGGTCAGCTGGGGCTGGTTTAGTTTACAGCTCCTCCGGTTTGGTCTTTTTTTTTTTAATAACCTGGAAGATCTGGCCCCCATGCCCCAAGCATTTTATTTCCTTTTCAGTTTCTGTGCTGTGGTTACAGCAGTTTTCCAAATTGCCGCTTTGGATTTGTACCAGGCATCACACAGTGATGGTAGCACATGGCTCGGGAGCGAGCCCTCTGGTCCCCTCCCTGTGTCTCTTCTCCTGTCCAGCCCCAGAAGAAAGCCTCCTTTGGCCCTTCAACTGACAGATTCTTTTAGGGTTTGAGCCTTGTTAATTATTCGTGTCCCCCAGTCAAGCAAAGATAACTGCAAGAGGGAAACCCAGAGGGACAGGACTGAAAGCTAAATCTCATGCTCCTTGATGGCTAGGCCAGGGTTTGAAGATACTTAATGACCTGCATCTTTTTAAAAACATTGATTGGCATATAACATATGAGTGTATGTGTCTATGAGTGTGTATTTGCATATGCACCCATTCAAGTGTCAAAAGAGTCCAGCTTGACGAATTTCACAAAGTGTGAAATAACCATGTAACTAGCATCCAGATAAAGACACAACATAACCAGCAATCCAGAACCTCTTTTTGTGTCCCCTTTTAGTCACTACCCCTCTGCCTTCCAAAGAACCCACTCTTCCTGACTTCTAACAGCATAGATTAGTTTTGTGTGTTTCCACATCCCCTTCTCTGCGCTGTGAAAAAGGGAACACCCTGACCTGTCCCTGCTGGGGTCTGCATTGTGGCTGGATTCCCAGGTGCTTGACATCAACAGTGAGTCTGCTGGGAAGGAGGGACATTAGCCCCACCAGGGACAGCATCTCTAAATGAACCTGGGGGAAACAAGACCACAACATTCCCAGACCCAGAAACTGCCGAGAGAAAATATGTGCTGTGATGATATTTGAATATAGTCCATTTCCTAAGCTCTCTCTTCCTTTTTTGATTTTTTTAGACCATCTCAATTTTTGAGGAACGAGCCCACATCCTTTATATGTCCTTAGAAAAGCTAAAGTTTATCGATGATCCTGAAGTGTACCTCCGAAGATCTGTCCTTATAAACAATTTGATGAAAAGGATCCATGGAGAAATTATCATGCAGAATAACTGGTGCTTTCCCGCCTGCTCTTTCAATGGCCCCTCGGCCCAGGAGTGGTTCATGGCTCAAGACTGTCCTTACCGAAAACGACCTCGGATGGCCAAAGAGGAGTGTGAAAAGTTTCACGCCTGCTGCTTTTACCAAGAATGTGGTGGTCACTACCTAAATTTACCCCTTTCTGTCAATGCTAATGTCGGAAGTGCCTCCACCACGGCCTCCTCCTCCTCCTCCTCCTCTGCCTCCTCGTCCTCCTCTTCCTCTCCCCCTCTGCCTTTACCGAGTTGTTCCCACCAGGTGGATTTCGATGTAGGGAGTGCACCTATTTACAAGGGTGATGGCCAGATACCTGCCAGTGAAATCTTTGTCACTAATGTCAGGTCACTTGGTGTTCAGGAAAAGGCCAAATTAAATGATGAGAAAGCAAGTAATGACAACAACAGGGATGGTGGCCCCCTACGCCATGAACCTGTGGGAAATGACCTTGATTTTGAGTGCAAAGGCCAATTTTATGATTATTTTGAGACTGAATATAATGAAAAAAACAATGTAAGTGAGTCTTGGAAAAAGTCCTTAAGGAAAAAGGAGCCTTCACCAAGTAACAAACTGTGCTGCAACAAAGGAAGTAAAATATGAGCCATCTTCTCACCGAAACTTTGAAGCATGCACAGCATGATCAATTAGCTCCCATAAATTTTATTTTGAATGGATTTTATAGTTTTGTACAACTGATAAAATTATGCCATGAACATGCCGTGTCGTTTTAATGCCTGGAGAGCAGATTGCATAAAACATCTGTATAGTAGGCATCAGCGAGCTACTTATAAATGTGGTGATGTTACCAAGAAAACAGTTGACTTCATGCTTAAAAGTATATGTTAGTTTTCTTACAGAAAAGATCCGTAGATTAGACTGGGGGCTGATGTGCCCTTGTGATATTTCCACTACCCCCAAGGAGCCTGTCACTAGCGAAGAAACTTCCACATGTTTGCCAATTAATTAGGTAGTTATTTGGTAAGCAAATCAATATAACCAGCAAAGGAGGTCTTGCTTCTTCTATCTGATACAGTATTTTTTTCTGAATAAAAGACTGAAGACAGGGAACTAGATGAAATGGCTTCATGGTGCTGTTAAGTATTTGGATTTATCAGTCATGTGCGACAGATGAAAGTAGGATAGGACGGAATGAAACACACCTATCCAGGGGCAGCGACCAACAATACGAGGGTAATCCCTGCAAGTCCCTGGCTTGCCCGTGATGGGTGATGAGGCTTTTAGAGAGGTATGATACAGGGCGATTTTTGGTGCCTTACTTTATCTTAATTTTTGCCAATGTGAAAATTAAGGATAAATCAGAGTACAGCAGGGATTTAACAAACAGGAAAAAAAAACACATATACACACAGGGTGGACCTTCGAACAATTGCGTTCAACTTTTGATTCGACATCTCTATTCTTCCTTTATTTTTGATGCCCAGTTGCTTTTGGATTTGGCATTTTTGGAAAGGGATGGAGGAAACGATGGAGCTGTTAGAAACCAGCACTAGCTGCTCGAGCTTTTCTGTGGCAACGGTCTGTTGCTGGGGTTTGGGTTTTTTGGGTTTTGGGTTGTTTTGCTTTGTTTTCTTGTCCAATGAAGTTCATGAACCAGTGGCATGCGTTATACTTTAATCTGTTTTGCATTATTCCACTCGTTTAGATTATAAAAGCATGTGGTTTTTTATATATGACTTTTGCTGTTGATTAAGAAGCACAATGTTAATAAATGATGTGGTGATCAATAAGGTTTTATCTTAAAGAATGTAAAGATTTTAGTTGGGGAAAGTTATTTTGGAGAAATGGGACTCGGTCGGCAAAAGCTACTGTGTATTTGGTCAACATTTTTCTCAATCATGTCTTTAATTTGTACATTTGAAAGAGTGTTCAGAGTGCCCCCTCTGACCATCCTTCCTTCCACGCCAACCAGTTCCTCCTGCTAAACTGTATTCCCATTTCCAAGGTTACTCACTGACTCGGGCCTCCTTACACAATTCTTCATGGGAACCAAATGCCAAACTGAGGAAATAAGTAAGTCCTCCCAGTTTCTCCAAGATAAAGCTTTTTTTTATTATTGCTATTAATATTAAATATAGGTCTCATTCATACAGTGTATGAGTAGGATCATCATTTGGACAATGTCCACAAGGACCAATTTTTAAAACATGTTCTTGTGTTATGGCTAAATAGTCTAGTAATGTTTTGTCCTTTATTTTCAATATTTGATAAACATTTGATGTTGAAAACTTAGATGATAGATGCCTGTATATGATTGTGTTGTTGTAATAAAGTGAGGTTTTTCTTGATATATATTTATTAAAATGATGAAAATTCATTGAGATTTCCTATTGTAATGATTATCGGCTATGTTTCTCATTTCCATTGCTCTTTCTCCTTTAAAAAACTCAAAATGTGTAGAAACTGTGGTGGGCTGTGGCTACACAGGAGTTTAAAAAAAATTTTAAGAGAGTACTTTGAGAGGCCCACCTAACAGGTGTTTTAGAATGGTCCTAGTTTGTCAGTTTACATTTCTGTTGATTAAGAGTACAGTGTTAATAAATGATGTGGTTGGTGATTGATAAGGTTTTATCTTAAAGGATCTGAAGATTTTCGTTTTTGTAAAGTTTCTGAGAAAAACAGCGTAACACGAAGCCATAAATACCAAATCCTAGCTGATTCCTTTAATGAGATGTCAAATTATCAAGAAGATGACCCACATGTAAATGGTTAGAGCAGCCAGAGGTTACTGCTAGTAGTGCTCGGTGCAATTCTGTATTATTGTCATTCTTAGAGGCTAATATTTCATTGGATAAAAAGGGAAAGCTAGTAGGAAGCTAATTCATTTGTCAAAGTAGCATTCTTATACTGAGCATAATATATCATGGAGATTTAAATATGAAAGAAAGGACTTGGGCTTTTAAGCCCCCAGCATTACCAGATGATGGTGGACAAAGCTGTGAAGTGACATGGTTTTCCGCAGGGCTCACCTGAGCCGCGGGCTCACACATCTGCTTAGCAGAACCCACTAGCACTTCTTTGCAGGATGAAGGGTGACTTTGAGTCTAGCAGCATTAAAATTTCTAATATTTAGTAATCAAATTTTTTGTTTTTAGGACATTTCCAGCATAGTTAAAGGAATACTTTTTCTTTCATGAAAAAGTAATCCCTAAACACCCATCCAGGTAACAAAAATGTTCCTGTTATTGGTATGATAATGTCAGGGCCTCCTAGGTGCCTACTTTGTGATTTCTACTCAGGAGATATTAAATCAGATTTTCCAGCGTAGTCAAGGCTCCCCTTCATAGTAACTTAAATCTGTTGATTGGGTTCTATAGTTACACCTGCAGAGATGGGAACAGCTAAGACCCTCCCCACTCCACACCACACTGCTGCCTCTCCGCCTGGAAGTGGTGGCTGCACTTTGCTTTAAGGAAAACCTCATATGGCAGAATCCAGCTTTTTAAAAGTTAAATGAGGGGAAATCTTCACTTAGGAAAATGGCCCAGCTCCCCAAGAGTGCCTTTAATTGCCACTCCCCTAGGCATCTAGGTGCCTGTCTTTAGCCCAATTGCCTCTAGTCCTTCCTCTCTAAAAGTGGGCGATTTGTAGAAGATAGCCAGGCAAAGGCGCTTTGAAAGGCCAAAGGAATGTATCATCATCATATACTTCCACTCTTAAAATCCTATTATTCTAAAGTTCACCTTGAAGGGGTCCTGGGGACAGGACTGTAGGGACAGGGACCTGGGAGGAAGGCAGGAAAAACTTAAAACTGGTGGAAGTGACTATATGACAACAATTAGAGGGGGAGGGTGTAGTTCAACTGGTAGAGCACATGCTTAGCATGCATGAGGTCCTGGGTTCAATCCCCGGTACTTCGTCCAAGAATAAACAAACAAACAAACAAACCTAATTACCTCCCCCCACCAAAAACATTAATAAAAATTAAAGAGTTCAAATATTTTTTAAAAAATTAATAATTAGGGTAAAGCATCTTCATCCTGATCTTCAAAGACAATAGAAATTTGGGGCATTACACGTGCTACTTTTTTAAATGCAGAAGCAAGTGAATGAAGGTATTTGCTTTATGAGCTCATAGATAACTCCAGGAAAGCCTGGTTCTCCATCCCTCCAAACATGGACTTGTATTACAGCTTCACTTGAGTCCTTCCTTTCTGTGTATCGAGAGGAGAGCCGAGAACTTGCAGAAGGCACGGGTGTTAAGAGGTGTCAGCCTCACAATGAGTATCAGACAGGGATATGAAGGTTGGTTTGTGATGCAGCTAAGCTTTTATATCCTTCAGACGAATCGTGAGCCAGAAACAATTTTTAAAAATAATTAGTTGTTCAAATCCATTTTTATGACAGTCCCTGAAGTTTGCAGTCATTGCATTTGTAGTGAAATCACATCCCTGCCAGTTTTACTAGGCCTTTTCAAAAACAAGGATTCAGCATGACATTAATAATGATGGTTTAAACTAGATGCAGAACTGTCCCGTGAAGAGAAAAATGAAATCAATATTTAAATACTAAAAGAGACAATGTACGTTTTTCTAGTCATTCATTTTAAGATTGTTGTGTTTTGATTCTGTGATTTAATAAATGCATGAAGGATCTTTTAAGTTAACTACGCGATGCCTCCGTTGCTGCCTTAGAGTTACAGTATAGTGAATAAGCAAGGTATGATTCCCTTACATGGCTCAGACGTCTCCATTTAATGTGATGTAGCTACATGACCTAGGGTGAAACAGTGACTAGTTTGGAGATTGTTTCCAGCCCTGTGTGCATGCCATAGTGTAGCTGGGAGAATTCGCTTTAGGAAAAAGACTTGCAAAGATGTAAGTTATGAACACTTGAATCTCGCATCCTGCCGTAAAGTGCATCAGCAAGTGAGTTTAATAAAACATGCTGTTTAAAATAGTCTGTAATTTCCTGTTTCTGCATTTCCTTTCAGTATCTGTGACAGGCTGAAGAATGATGACTAAACGAAGGGAATTTACACAAGCTAGTCTGGTGGTGTTTGCAAACCATCGCCATGAGCTTCGTCTTCTCTGGTAAACAATTCCCTGGTGGGCTGTCTAAGGCTGATTTTTTTTTCCCTTGGTGTTGGTCCAATTTGTTAATTTTGAAAGTGCAAACTACTCATTCACAGCCTGGAAACACCTGCTTTTGACCACAGTGAAACTGATGGCATGGATGGAGATGAATTAGTCATTTCTCATGAAATTTCCCTTGTTACTCAACCCCATTTGAGGGAACTGTTCCCTTGATTGAAAATTGTGAAATTTTCTAAAATGCCCTATCTTGGGAGGAGAACACACACAGAAAAGAACTTGCAGAGACAGAAGTTGTGATCTTGCTTCCTGCTGAGATCCCGAGACAGTGGGCAAATGGCAGAACTTTGGGGAGAGGAGGATGACCTTCAGCAGACATTGTCTCCATCCAGGACCTTCCACAGGAGAGGCTGAGTCCAGGCCTTAGTATGTGATCCTCCACTACTCCCTCTGATTGGTCAGCTCACACATGAACCCAACCAGGATACTTCTAGACGTGATGCTTTTCTGCAGATGTCTTCTGAGGGCCTTGCAATGAGCTAAGCTCAGATGTGATGTAACCCTTGTATCCTGGCAGTCAGGGAGTGAACAGATCGCTCAGAAATGCACCTGGCATAGCACTCAGGCATCTATACCATCCTCAAAACTCCCACAAGCCCTGTGTGTGTGATAAGGAAAAGATGGAGCATGACAGGCTGCAAGGCAAGGGATTTCAGCAAAAGATTGGGGAGTTGTTCTCTGATTGAATGGAGAGGAAAAAGTCTGACATCCAGCACTCCACGTTGAATGGGGAGTGCATTCACTTTCTTTAAGGAGAAGTCTAAAGAGTAAAAAGGAAAGCAGGCAGATTTGTTGTTGTTGTTGTTCAAACCTCTTTATGAAGACAGGAAAAACCATTTCAGGGGCTAAAGGATTTCCTTTATGTGTGGTGGTTTTTTTTTTTTTCCAGAAAGAGAGAAATGGCTTATCTGTCCTTTCTGGGAGCTGGGAGGGTTTCTCATTGTTGTTCTCCAACTCCTTAGATGCTGTGCTTTTCAATAAACACACCAAATTGTCTTTGTGACTAGGTATCGGCATTGGCTTATCTCTCCTGTTCAGTTGAGGCGCGGTGGTTGTGGGTTTCTTGTGAGACTGGAATATAGCAGAGGGTTAAGAGTGTTGGATTGGGAGTCAGACTCCCTGAATACAAATTCCAGCTCTGCCACTATGGCTGTGCAACCTTGGCCTTGGCCAGCAAGGCCCTTTACTTCCTAGTGCCTCAGTTTCCTTGTCTGTAAACTGCCATGGGGTGGCATGCTGTACCCACCTTGTGAGGTTGTCAGGATTAAAGACTCTAATATCGAGGAAGTGGCTCGATGTTGCCTGGGTGCACATTATGGGTGTGAAATAACAGTGAGCCTCCAGGACTTCTCCACTAATGTCCCTGGACGCCCTGAAGGCTGGAGCTGATGGTACCAGATCCTCTTTGTGGAAAGTGTTCAGCCTCCTGGGTTCTGTACAGCAAGTTTGAAATTAAATAGGGAGATGGTGTCAAACCTGGGGTCCCAGGACCCTTAGACAGCTATGAACGTAGTCATTGGAGTTCTTGAGATGTTTTTAATATTTCAAAAGCTTATTGGAGATCATAAAGTTTCCTGAAAGCAGTTACCGAGACTAACCCCTGTCAGATTTCTTTACCTTTGGCTGGAATTAAATCAGCTCTGGGTTAACACAGTTAGCTCAAACTGAGATGAAACTCTGACTGGGAAAATGAAGGCATTACCCTTAATAAACACAATTTATTTTGTGGATAGACTCTTTCAGAACATTGGCTAGGTGAAAGGAATAAGAAGTGTCCTTTACAAGTGAAAAGATTAAAAACCTCTGACTAAACTCTGACTCACCCCCGACTCACCCCCAGGATTTGCCAAAGTTCAAGTTTATTCAATGACTGTATTGAATGATTCCCTTAGACCTAGTTTTCACTCAGAAAAAAAAAAAATTGAGTAAATAAATTCAGACCAAACCATAGTCCTCATGTTCCTATATCTGGTCATTGAGGCCAAAACAAAACTTTCTGTATAATCATAACTTTGAGGACATGGCCTCAAAGTAGTTATAAAATAATTATGATACAGTTTCCACTTACAGGCTCTAAGTTTAAAAAGCAGCTCCGCTAGGAAGTGGTTGTCCTTACTTCAAAATCTTTATTTTTTTATTGCCTTTGAATTCAGAACCCAATAGATGACTTCAAAACAGGATTTCATTTAAAAAATTACATTTCCATCCCTCTCAGTGTTCCAAG